CAGCACACCTTGTCAATTAATTATTTGCCAGCTATTTAATTACTTACATAGAGTTTATATAACGAGTATGCCCGGATGGCAGTGTAATATTTTGTGCTAACAAAAACATTTCAAGAATCTTAACTTCACGTCGCACACAAGCAACATCTGAGTAACGTTACTGGCATTAACAGAGCTAACGTTAGCTAGCTGAGTTAGCACTGTCACAAAAACAAGCTGTCAAAAAAGAAACAACATACCATGTGGCTAATGCAGGCTAATGTCAAGTCCGCTCACTCACCGTGAGGTTCTTCCTTTCGTTATTGCCGGTACCCAACTTAGTTTGCCGCTAGCGGCTTGACGTTAGCCGGCTGGCTTAACAGGAGTTCATTCCGTGTGTGTGTGTGTGAGCGCGAGTGACAGCCAGTAACCTCTCTCCCTCTCCGCGGACTAATCTGCTCTGATCCCGCTACCGCTGTCGACTGTCAGACTGACGAGTCCCGCTGCTAACGGTAACGCTAGCTAACCTAATGTTAGCTGTGTGTATTCGTGATGAGGAGCCCCGGAGGATCCTGGCAGAGTGTAGACCTCGGTGCTTCTTCTGAAATAGTAGGTGAATAAAGGAGCGGCCGTGTGTCTGTCGGATAATAGTAATGGAGACGGACTCGGTTGTTGTCACTTTACTCGCTTGTTCGGGCAAATTACACTCGTGACGTCACTACGCACGTTCAACAATAAAATCTGGTCAAGCCAAGTCAGATTTGTCTGTGTAGCCCATTATCACAAACCACAAATTTGTCTCAAGCGCCTTTAAATAAACTCCATTCATCTTACTTTTAATTGTTTGAGTTATTTATTTTTTAATCGAGCATTTCTCTTTGTTTATTGCATCTTACTCTATTCCACAAGCCTAAACCAGGGAATAAATAATGTGTCTGTTTATGTTAGGGTTTTGTCATGGTTTTCTTTGCTTTAAGATGACAGTGACAGCAGTCATCACAGTCACAAGTTATTTCAAAACGTCGTTCAAAAAGTAATATCCAAAAGACTATACATATGATAAAGTAAGTTTTCTGTCCCCATCATATGGTCAGTAAACCTGCATACTACAGATTTAACCCACAGCACACCAAAACTAAGTCATCCCGTGTGTGCATCACTTTATTTAAAGTATCTACATGAGGACATTATCATAACAACAGCTTCTACAATTTGAAGTCTTTAATATGCTGTTCAATACACTTCAGGGGACAGCAGGATTTCAAGACATTGCAAAGAAAAGTGGCATCACCCTGGCCTCATCATCACCTTTGAGCATCTAAAATGTTGCAGTCTGAGGATAATACTTATCCTGAACATGTTCATTTTACGGTCTCTAGTTCTACACAGACCACTGTGTTTGGAGCAGCTGCTTTAATGTTTACTGTCTTAACTGCACTATTGGATCACTGAGCAGCCTTTTACAGTCAAGAGAGACACCTTTGGCTCTGTAGATATAGGCAGAGATACATCTGGTCAGATCCACATTCAGATTATGTTGGGTTTTTTATGCATAAAACTGGAGAGCAGTGAAGTGGTAATCAATTCAGCTACATTGTGTTCTTTATTGCACAGTAATGGGTTTGATTCTACAAATCAAGTGGCCCTCATGTAGAGATGCCCTTCAGATGTAACATGTAACAAATCTTCATAATCTCCTCAAGACTCAAAAACTGTAAATAAACATTCTGATGAGTGTAATATTTTTACATTCGATGCTGTCTCTGTCTTCATGTTTCTTGTTAGGTTTAATGAACCGTCTTTCCAGTGATCTTGCCTCTCATAAACCATTAATTAATAGCCTTCTAAAAACTTTAATTAAAAGTAGCATTAAACTGTTATATTAAAACTCTAGGTCTTTGCTTTAGCTGTCATCATTAAAGGTAAACTCACAATCAAGGGAACATTTTGTCATTGGCAAAAATGTCCACCTCCACAGTGACTTTGGAAGATGGAGCCATAAAGTTAAGTGTTACTATCGGGTGGACACAAAATGAAACAGTGGGCGTAATTAATCATGACATCATCACAACAGGGTTAAAGGCAGTGATGGCAGAAATTAGGCTTTCTGAAGCTTTGAACCAACTGCTTTGGAAAATGGTGGGTTGTTTTGAAACCCTTGAATCACCCATGCTGGTGACCTCTGCTGGCCAAATGCCTGTCAATACAACAAAAACTGCCAACATGGCAATTCACTGATTCAGAAGACAAATACATTTTTTTTTATATTTTGTGAAATAAATTTATGTATATGTGTATATGTGGTGACAAATGCTTTTGTAAAAGGACCTTGTTGCGGGAAGAGTGTTATCAGTGTTTCAGTCATTTTCACAATATCACTGCGTGTAAATAAATTGTGACAACAATGAAGCCTGTACATGTTGTTTATCTGCTATTTATAAATATGTGTCATATATAGGAAAGGATTTATTTTCATATGCCTTCAAAATTGGTTTACTTTTTCAACAAAACCATGTTTTGAAGTAGGTCTACATTCTCTGATGGGGAGTGCTTGTGACTGGAGCTACAGTGCCTATAAAAAGTATTCACCCCCTTGGATGTTTTGCCCTTTTACTGATTTTAAAAATCATTCATGGTCAATATAATTTGGCTTTTTTGACCAAAAAAAAATTACAAAAAAAACTCTTTAATGTCAAAGTGAAAATAGGTTTCTACAAAGTAATGTCAATTAAATAAAAATATATAATGAGAAATAAGTGATTGCATAAATATTTTACCCTCGAAGAGGCAGTCACCTTCCTGCATTATAAATCTCGGATTTCCCTCATGTAAACAGTTATTTTCAATTTTCCTCACTGTTGAAGAGGAAGATTGATTCCGGTACTGTAATGTAATACCACATAATAAAAACAGTGTGCTGTTTTGTGTCAGTTCATCTTACCTTGACCACATATCCATCACCAGATAGTTTACAGTTACCACAGGTTCAGGAGACTCTACAGGAGACTACCTGCTCAGTTCATGCTCCATATGCTGTTGTATATTTTAGAAAAAAAAACATGAAACACACCTTTATTATAGACAAAGAGGTTTCCCACTTGAAACTGTAGCTAAAGTGGTGAGCAGTCTCAACACTTTTACTGGAGAGAGTTAGTTTAATATCGCAAAATTTCAGTGTAGATGCCTGTAATGTAATGTGAGCCCTGGCAAAACACCAGGACACCTTAAAATGAGCACTGTAATCTAGGATTAAACTGCACTTCTTACATTCAAGAGTGCAAATAAAAGGCTAAGACTTGTTTTCAGGGGGAAAAAACAGTCAGATGTTTTTGTAATTGTGGTGGAGGACTTGCCTGACTGTGTTCACTGAGCTGGACCTGTCACAGTTTCTGTTGCATGCAGCTCCTCCCTACCAACCTCTGTCTGTTGTACAACATTATGAATATATTCATACAGATCAATACACTGTATAACAGGGTAGGTGAAAATAGGCCACATTTTGTGTCTCTGGTTTGGATTTTTTCTTTGTGTTTTGTTTAACTGCTTTCAGAAGTGCCAGAGATGAATTGCAATATAAATCTATACAGTACTGCAGTACAAAGGGCAGAAACATGAAGTTGATTGTTAATTTGACGGCACAGGAGCATGGACAGGGCACAGGGATTCGGTGGGAAAGGGAGCGTTTGTAGAGGAAGTGGGTGTTTCTATTATCTACAGTACAATACAAATTTTAATTATGTCACATTTCATATTCAAAGCAACAAGCACAAGCGTCTAACACTGAGATGTTCAAAGGACTATACATTACAAATTTGCTCTGGAGAGATTAGACACAGATTCTGAACCAGCTGTTTTTCCAACCCACATACAATCAATAAATGTAGTTAACAACCAACGTTGCACATCTAATAAAAATAAAATGTCAAACCAGAGAAAAGAGTAACATGCCTTTATTGAACCTCTTCAAACTTCCTTATCATCCAATGGTTTTATTCTTTAAAAACCTAACTGTGTTAATCACAATGTTGTTTTTGTAGTGTTCCCTCAATGATTAAAGTTTCACAGTTAAAGATGGAGCACAAGAATTTAAACACTAAAGAACCAAGGACAGAAGGCCAGAAAAGAAAATCTAACGATGCCGATACTTGAGTCAGTTTTATGAAGTGGTTGTTGGCTATTATAGATGTAGATAATATAAGTGATAAGAATGAAAAAGAAAATATCTTTGAGACAAAAATACAAAGTAAAAGACTGACAAGAACAAGAAAAGCCCATTTTAACTTTGTCTCACCCTGCAAGGAGATGTGCAAAAAGGATTTTATAGGAGTCAAGAACACTTGAACAAGAGCTGCATGAAAAGAAGAGCTAAGTGGTTTTTGGAGAGACAGAACTCAACTTGAACAAAGCGCACGGACTTCATGTTCCACCCCTCTACTTTTTTACATAATAATCCTATCCAAAGCAAAAAGGCTGGAAGTGCACATTTGCTAAGCACAGGAGCATTGTGTTGAAACAAACTGACTGAACAGACTGAATAACTTAGGTTGCATTCATTCACCATAAAACAAGACAAGGAAAGAAACAGAGCTGTCCTTTTTTAAGGCGACTTAAAATATAACCTTTAAAAAAACATTAGTTATCAGCTCAGTTTTATCTTTTATACCACCCAGTTGAACACTCCTTTATTAACTACACCATTATTTGGATTTGTTCAGGTTATAAAAATTCCAGTATACTGTAAACCGAAGTTTCCAAGATGACTCGACCACACAACCGAATGCTAAATGTTATGTCTGAAGGTGGGCTGAGGTAAGGGAAGGAAAGCATCTGAAAACTGAACTGATGAACCCCACACCTGTATTCACCAGCCACCCGGAAGTGAAAACTAAATGTGTTTTTTTCCCCTTTACAAAAATAGTGTAGGGGTTCACAAGTCCTTTCCCAAGCCCAAAGAGGTGGGACAAAACACAGCTGACCCCTAGCCCTCCTTTATGGGTGAACTACATTGAGCCATCACAGCTTTATGCAGCCACCTCTGCAGCAGAGACATCCGCAGCTTCGGGGGCTGTGGGCGCGGTCTCTGCTTCAGTGGGGGGAGTGGGAGGGGCTTCATCAACTGCTGCCGTACCACCGCTCTCTGCTGCGAGGGCCTCTGATGGCACTGTGGCAACAGGGGCAGCTTCAGGGGCTGCCTCTCCCACTACAAGTGGGACAGCCTCCTCTGTGACGACCACCTCAGAGGCAGCTTCGGGGGCTGTGGGCGTGGTCTCTGCTTCAGTGGGGGGAGTGGGAGGGACTTCATCAACTGCTGCCATACCAGTGCTCTCTGCTGCCAGGGCCTCTGCT